TGGGCGCGGGAGGTGAGTCGCGGGGTGGCCGAGGTCGGCTGCGGTGCCTGGCCCCAGGCTCGAACGTCGGAAGCGGCCGAACCGCGGTCCACGCAAGTCCCTCCCAGGGTTATCGGATCCCGTCCCCAGACCCTCTGGACCCAGACCATAACTCTCCGGAAGCGCTTCGGTGTCTCACCTGGAGCCTGGTTGCTGCAGCGTCCGTTGGGTCGCTCCAGCCGCCCCCACGGAGGAGCTGGCCTCTTTCCCCACCCACCCTTCCCCCGTCTCTTACTGCGCCCTCCTGCTTCTGGACCCGTCACCTCGCTCTGCTTGTGGTCTCAGCGCCCTCTCCTGGCCAGTGGCCGCAGAGGGCCGTGGAAGGCAGGAGATTTGTAGGAAATGTCCGAGCCAGGTTCCGCCCGAGGATGCTCCTGGCAGCTGCCGGAAAGCCCCTCTAGTGTCCAATGACAAGGCCTGGAGAGCCTGGCCGGGCTGGCGCAAGCCTGACTCCAGCTGGCCTTGCTGACGGAGGGGCCCATCCGAAGGGGAAACCAGAGCCGAACATGGGGTCTCACGCCACATCTCCTGACCAGAGCTGTGCGGTGCGGGCAGCAGTGAAACACGGACGTGGCTAAGAGCTGGATCCAGAGCAGAGCTGGAACCTCGTCCAGCACTATCTCTAAGCCCTCGGGTCCATGGAGTCAGCCCAACCCCTAGACCAACTCACAGGCACTTGAACCAACGTACTCCCTCAGCTGCTGAGGCCCCTCTGGCTGGGCTGGGTTTCCTGTCATTTCTACACATTCAGGGACCCAGGTTTCTCATCTATAAAGCGGGGACTACAGTGCTGACCACAGAGGACCGCTTGTGCAGTGACAAGTGTCTGGCAAGTGCACCTAGGTGCTCATCCTCCAGTGGCAAGGACACAGGGAGGCCCACCTGCCCTGAGCCTGAGTCGTCCAGCCTAGCTCTGCCCACGGCACCTTTTCCTCAGCGTCTTACCTGCTCTCTCCCTGGTGCCAGCCGCAGGGCACTCCAGCTCAGAAGGGGGCCTGCCCTCTCACTGTTTCCCAGCTGGAAGGCTGCGTTTGCACAAGGGTGTCACACACACTCACCACACACTCCACACAACATGGCAAAGCAAGCCCTATTGGTTCCTCCTCCCTCCCTGCTCTTGGCACGGCTGCTCCTCCAGCAGTCGGAAGAGGCCCCCTTAGGAGAACCAGGACTCCCGCTACTCACTCCATCCAGTCAGCTCCATCCTACAACTTAACATGTTCTCTGTGCTGCCAGGTAAGAGGCGGACAGTATGGGAAAGGTGGCGGCCAGGTCAGAGGACACACCTTTCTCTGTCTTTCTCAAAATGGCTACACCCTGGGACCCTGCACCTGTGTTTCGTCCAGCCCCATCCTCACCCCTAACACCGCCAGGTTCCCCCTGAGGAGATGCAGGGAGTCTACTGCTTTTCTTCACACCACTTAACCTCCTAATTCTTTCTCTTTTTTTGTAAGTTTAAACTGGCTTGATTTTATTATTTTTTTAGATAATGGAGGTACTGGGGATTGAACCCAGAGCCTCGTGAATGCTAGGCATGCGCTTTACCACCTGAGCTATACCCTCCCCCAGCTTAACCTCCTAATTCTTATGTGAATGTTTGCCGGTGTCTGGCCCAAGACCTGTGACCAGGGTGGAGACCCAGCCAGTGGCAGGTGTGGTGTCTGTAGAAGGTAACCTCCTGTGGAAGCCCTCCTTGACCACTCCTTCTGGGTCCCCCAGACCTGCACAGAAAAGCAGTCAGGAGTGGACAAAGGTGGGGGAGGGGTATACAGGAGTGCACACAGCCTCCAAGAAGTCAGGCCATCTGGTAGCTTTATTAAAGGCCTGCAGAGGGGCAGGGGCCCAGCCCCACAGGCAGCAGGAGCAAATCCAGAGGACTCCAGAGACCCCTCAGAATCCTGAGCACTGTCAGTCCAGGGTCGTCCCTGCCGGCCCAGCCTGGCCCCCAGCGGCGTCCTCAGGAGAACTCGCGGGTGAACCTGGCGTGGAACTGCTTCAGCTTCTCCAGCAGGGGCCGCAGCTTCTCCATGGGGGGCAGAATGGTCATCCTGAAAGGGAGGAGAAGGTAAGCGAACGAGGTGGGGGTCGCAGAGAAGGGCAGTACAGGCCAGGCCTCACCGGAAGTGGTAGGTGCCTTCCCTCTGCCCGAAGCCGCTCCCGGGCACCACGCAGATGCCAATCTCCTCCAGAAGGCGCTGGCAGAAGAACATGTCGGGAGCCAGGCCGAGCTCCTGGGGGCGAGCAGGCAGTCAGGCCGGGGAGTCCCAGGCTCCGCCCTCCCCATGGGCCCCGCTCCGGCCCACCCTGCCTGGCCACTGGGCTACAGACCTGAGCGCGCCTCACCGCGCGGGGGGGCAGCTGCACGCGCGGGAAGGAGTACATGGCGCCCTGCACCGGGTTGCAGCGGATGCCGGGAGCCTGGTTGAAGACCTGCTCCGTGAGCTTGGCCTTGGCTGCCAGCTCAGCCAGCACCGCTCGCCTCTCCTGCGGCCATGGAGGGAGGGCAGATCAGGCCGAGCTGGGGGCACGACGCCCCCAGCCCTCGTCTGTCCCCAACTCTGTTGCCTCGACCCCCTCGGCTGCTCTCACTCACAGCCTGGAACTGCGTGAAGGAGGGGTCAGAAGGCGCGGGCGGGCTGACCACCATGTCGAGCAGGACCTGGCCGGGCGTGGTCGGGCACAGCCGCACGCTTCTCAGTTTCAGCAGCTGCTGCTTCACCATGGCGTCCATGTTCACCACCTCCACGTAGCCGCCGCGGAAGCCGCACCTGTGAAGGGACGGCAGGCATCGAGGCTGGGCCGGCGGGGAGGTGAGCCTGGCCTCAGCTGGGGTTCACGAGCCCCTGCCCTCCCAGCCCCCACGCACTCGCCCATGTAGCCCTTGGAGATCGAGTGGAAGGAGGCGAGTTCCTGCTGCACCGCGTATGGCGGCCCCATCTCCATGAGCACCTTCTTGAACGAGTGGAACTGTGAGCCCTCGGCGTACACATTGTCCTGGTACACCTGGACAGGTGGACAGGAGTCATGGGGTGCCTGCTATGTCCTCCTCCCCGTGCCCACGGGTGCCCCTGCCAGCACCTCATCAGCCAACAGGAACAGCCTCTCCTCGAAGGCGAAGCGGATCATGTCCTCGATGCACTCGCGGGTCTGCACATGCCCTGGGGCGTGGGGAGTGCGACAAGTATGGGGTGAGCTCGGGGTGGGTGGGGCTGTGCGGGGCAGGCCTACCCAGGGGCAGCAGGGCAGGGACACGCGTTCAGGCCCTGGCAGTGGGCGGGGGATGGGCGCACCTGTGGGATTGCCAGGGTTGATGACGCACAGCACGCGGGGGCGGCAGTGGTCACGTGCCTGGTGCAGCGCTCGCCGCAGCTCGGCCATATCGACCGCCCAGGCGCGCTCCTCGTCCAGGTAGTAGTCCACCTGCACGGCGTTGAGCTCGGCCAGCGCGGCGGAGTAGAGTGGATACTGAGGGATGGGGATGAGCACACCCGTGCGCGTGCGACCCTCACCGGTCACCAGCAACTCTAGCACCGTCTGTGGGTGGGATGGGGAGGCATAGTTGGCCTGGCCAAAGGCCGCACCCATCCCCCCGCCCTGTGCCAGGATGAGCTGGACCCGCCCAGCTGCGCACAAGGAGCCACGGTGGCTTCCTGCACTGGCCCCGGCCTACCACGATGGCGTCGGTGGCTCCCGTGGACAGGAAGATGTTATTGGGGTCGGCGGGAATGCCTCCGTCGCGCCGCTCAATGTACTGCGCCACATCCTCACGGATCAGCTGGATGCCAGAGCTGATGCTGTAGGCCCCTGGGCCAGGGCAGGACAGGGGGTGGGGGCATTTAAAGTGAGGTCCCCTTGCAGTCCTCCCAGAAAGATCCACCCCTCTCCTGGGAAGGCCTCTCCAGCTCCTGCTCCTCCCAGGGACTTGGACAGGTTCTGGCACTCACCGAGGCTGTGGCCCCCGCAGGCCTGTAAGATGCGCTCCGCCCTTCTCTTGGCATCCTCGGGGAAGTCTGGGCTGTTCAGGAGATCAGGGTAGATGCAGAGGGCCAGGACCTGGGAGGAGCGAGTGCTGAGGCTGGGGGCACACAGGCTGACCAGGGAGGGACGCTGGGGCAGTGCTGAGCCTCACCTGGCGCAGGAAGGTGATAGGCTTCTGCCCCATGGCCTGTGCATCCCCGACGTTGGCGCGGATGACCTCAGTGAAGGGCTTCTTTACACCCTGGGAGGGATGGGGCATGGGCAGCGAGAATGGACCTTAATAGTCCCACAGGCCCTTGTCCCATGGGACACTGGGGATGGGCTGCCTCAGCTGCCCAGGTGTATCCTGAAGGCAGCGGTGGGGTCCAGGGCCTTACCTGGCGCAGCTCTGCCTCCAGCTCCAGCGCACGCAGAACGATGGGGCCTCGCACGGCATACTCCAGCCTCTGGACACACGGGTTCATGGTGTCCAGCGTCAGTACCTTCTCCCTCAGTACGTTCATTGCAGCCTGGCTGTGGTCACCTGCTCTCGAGGCCATGACACAGCTCAGACCAGGCAGGGAGGAGGCTCAGGAGGCAGCAAGATCCAGAAATGGGAATAAGAGAAGCCAGGTCCAGGCTGGCGGACCAGGGCTGGGAAACGGGGAGCCTGGGAAGGGGGCTTAAGGCAAGAGAGCACCCTCTGCACTGCAGCCTCCTGACCCCACTGAAAGGGACAGAGAAGGCTGCAGAAGTAGCTAGGGCCACAGGCCCCGCCTCACTTGTCTGGGCACAGTTCTGCCCCAGGGAGCCACAGGGAGTGGGTGAGAAGGCAGGCGGGGCTCGGGGTGAGGCCCAGTGCCCGCCCAGTGTCCCCATGACAGGGGAGCAGGAGACTCACATAGGGGGTAGGGACAGACGGAAGGTTCAAGCTCTGAGGGCCTGGGCCTGGGGGAGGGGAGAGGAGGGGAGCTGAGCACCCTGAGGGGATGGCAGAGCTGGGTAGGGCTGAACCCTGAGGGGAGAAGGAAGCCTGGGGCCCCTGGAGATTTACCCTAGGAGGGCTCGACCTAGGCCCAGCCCTCTCGGACCCCCCATCTTTGCTGAGGCTGGCCGGCCTGTCTCCCAGGTAACTGAGCCAGGCCACAGGAATCCTGGGGCTGTCGGGGGAGGGGAGTGAGGTGGTCAGACTTGTGGGGTTCCATCTGCCCTCTTGTGCTGAGGACTGTGGCTCAGAGGCCATAAGAGCCCTGTGGTTGGACCTTGGTCCCCCATCAGGGCTGCAAGGCTGGAATCTCTGGGTCGGGGTGTTGGGGGAGGGGACAGGGGAACTCCGGGCTTTCCCAGGGCCCTTGGACACCTCAGCTGCTCTGGGACGCTGCTGTCCTGCGCTTTCTCCAATCCTGCACCAGCCTGGGGCTGCCCTTGGGGCCACACCGCAGGCAGGGTGACCTAAGCTCCCCTTCCCTGTTGCTCCTGATTGGTGGAGAGAGGGACGTGAGCCATGATAAGCCCTCAGGCCCCACCTCCACAGGCCCTGCAGGGAGCTGATAGGCCGTGCCTAGGGTGGCCACCCCAGCGCTGGTATCTGACCGTGCTGAGGGTCAGGGAGCAGGCCCTCAGCTGAGCTGGGCTGTGGGCAGCTGGTCAGGCCTGAGCCGGAGCCTTGGCTGCAGCTCCTACTCCCACTGGCTGGAGAGGAACCACAGAGCCCCAGGTGGCTGGCCTCTCACCTTGCGCCTCTGGCTCCGCCGCCACCTCTGCCACCTCTGCCTCCCAGAGCGCAGGCCCACCCACCCTGCTGGCCCCCAGGCCGGAGCACAGGTTAATATGGGCCCAGCCCCAGGCGGAGCCAGCCCTCACCCGCCCCCTGGCAGCAGGGTCCAAGTGGCAGCTGTGGTGACAAGTGAACCTTGGGCAGCTGCACCACAACACATTCTAAATTTAACCGGCAGCCTACCCCGGACTCTCCCCTAGCCCTGCTGAGAACACCTCTCCAGCCACTGATGCTTAGGGAAGGGCAGGCCTGTGGACACTGGGCAGACCAGGTCAGCGTCCAGCAGGGGAGAAGGTGACCTAAGTCCATGCCACCCAGCACTGGTGGCCATGCCAAGCAGCCTGCCATGGGCATGAGCTGGCAGGGCCCCCATCCCTCCCAAGTGAGGCCCCTAAGGGGCCCCATGATCATGACACATTGTTCCTGGTCAGCTCAGAGGCCGAGAGGCCAGCTGTTGGCCTTCTTGGCTGGCCAGGCGGAAGCTGGCAGCCAGGCCCTGGGATCAGGGCTGCGTGCCAGGAATGGGGGACCCACCCAGCCAGGGAGGTTTCTGATGCAAGCCATCTACCACTCTGCCCCTCTGGGCCAAGAGTCTCATGGAAAATACCCTCTCCCTTTCCAAGCCAGGATCCCTGCCACTCCAGTGTGGATGCCCCCAGCCCGAGCCCCCAAGGACTGTCTTTCCAAAGCAACGTGTTCCCCTCAAGAAAGCAGAGTTACACAGGAGCCTCCAGGAGGCTGGGGAGGCAGGGTGCAGTGAAGGCCAGGCTTCTTGTCCAGGGGCCATGGGCCTCACGCCCACGCAGGGTTGGGCAATACAGGTGAGCCCAGCAAGCACCTACAGGTCTCAGGTGCTCACGGACAAGCACACCCAGGCCTAGCAACACAACAGCTCCCCATCATGGAAACGGGGGCCCAGCTGAGACACATGACAAGGCAGGTAGCAGAGCGAACAGCCCTTTATCCAGTCACAGGATGAAACTAGGTCTCTGCAGCCAGGTGCCTCCCAGGTGTAACTTCTGTCCCTGGTCCATCTAAGGGAGGAGGCTAGCGTTCTGGCTGGGGGCACACATCAGGGTCTGCAGAGCAGGGGCCCTGAGGCAGCAAGACCTTCACCTCCCTGAGAACCAGCCCTTCACATGAGCAGGCAGCACGGCCTCTTCTCCACAGGGACCTCCTCCGAGGGGGCTGTGAGCTTCAGCAAGGGCGGGTCCCCACCGGCCCCAGGGCCCTCCTCTGGCTGGCGGGTCTCAGAGTCCACAGGCAGGCCCGACTCAGCGGCCTCAGGCCCCTCGAGTGGGGGATGCTGCAGCTTGGCGACGGCCCGCTGGCGCTTGAGCTCTGCCAGGGTGTGGTGGGCCTTGGCCCGGACCAGGGCGTCGGGGGGGGTGCCCTCTGGGGAGCTTTGCCGGTAGGAAACACTTTGGTCCAGCCGCTTAGAGTACAGGTGCCGCCCTGGGGGGCCCCCGACGCGGCCGTTGTGTGGCCGGGCCACCTCAGGGTCCTCCTCCTGTGTGGGGAGCACAGGACCCAGAGGCTGTCAGGAGGGTCCTCTGCGGCCCAGGGCTCCAGGCTGTGGGGCAGTATGGGGACAGAAACAAGGGCCAGGGCAGTGGTGACCCCTCTGGGGCACTAGCCTGGCACATGGGCCAGGGTTACTGGTCTCACCAGCTCCTGAGGCCGGTGCAGAGGGAGAACTGAAGTACCAAGGTCAGGCTGTGCCCTGTGCCATGCAGCAAGGCAGGGCCTGATCTGACCTCTGGGGCAGGCCCAGGCAGGGCTCACCTCGCGGGGTGGCAGCCGCAGCTCTGCGTCTGTCTGGTGGTCCTCATCCTCATCGGGCAGCTCCGGGCTGGCGGGTGCTGGCTGTTGCCACACGATGGCTTCCTGGGCATGCTCCTTGCGGTACAGGCTGGTACGCTGGGTCAGGCTCACCCGCCTCACCACCTTCCTGGGGGGAGGGCAGGGGGGAGGTGGGGGGAGGCCGCTGCCCACCCACGGACTCTCCCGGGCCCCAGCTGGCACCTTGGCCTGCCAGCTGACAGTGAGGACAAAGCCCAGGCCAGAGCCCGACGGGGGTGGGGGTGGCCCGAAGGGGGCCGTGGGGGACCGACGGGGCCCGTGGGTCGGGCCCGGGGGGGGGGGGGTC